CAAGACGTAAGTTATTTAAAATTATCGCATTAATCAGATATTATTCGATAAAAACATCGTTATTTAAAATTATCGTATTAATATAATTATTTTTTTGCTATTATTTTCATTTTTCACAGTATGCAGAAGAAAATGCAAGGCCATTGCAACCAAAACACAGTCGAGATATTTACCTTTACGGCCCGGGAGATACAAGTCATTGATCATTGATCACTAAAATTTATTTATTTTTATCCTTCGACACCTGCCAACACTATTGTATTGAATCATTTTTTTCATTGGAGTTATGTATATTAGAGCCAATTAATTAAAGAAAAATATATGTTTTGAGACATTTGTCTGGTTAATTACTATTTCCTTTCATTTTGACTTTCTAACATAACATCTTAAATAAGATCAGATCAAATTGAAGAAGCAACCTTTGAAGTAAGTTTTTGCAAAAAATAAGAAATTAGTAACATTTATTAAAATCTTGTTGTCATATCTCAATTTTGTTTACCAACGACAACATATACTTATTAACGGTTGCAACATTCATTAAGTTTTTGCAACAATCAATTGAACGTTGCAAAAGTAGACATTACGTTAAAATATTGTTGTCAAATCTCAATTATTGTATTGGATAATAATTTTATGTTGAAAAGTAAGTTGAAGTAGCGTAAAACAACTTATTTTTCTATCATATTTTAAAAATAAATAAATAAAAAGTGGGAAAAAATATTTTTCCTCATTTCAATGCATGAAAACAAAATATTTTGATATAAATCATTACTAAGGACGAGACGTACTAATTAATGAAAGGTTGAAGATAAGAAATCGATAGAAAAAAAGTTAAGGAAATACTTGTTACAATCAGCAAAGATTGAGAAACTTGATTGTAATTAAAATGTAGTATAACAAATAAAAATTGTAATATCAATATCTATTCACATCTATTGTCCATTTTTGGCTAAATTTGACATGTTGTCCACAAATTATTAATATCCCACTAAAACATAATCACTTTTAAGTTGACTATAGAAACATGATAATGTCTTTTGTCTATATGGATGCTTTATACTTATCACGCCTCATTATTGTTCTTCAATTTACTATGTTTAGAGTCATTCATAATAAATACACTATGCTTTCACATTCTCATCCTAACTCATATATTAAAAGGGGGGCAAGGCTATGGCTATTGTTCATAGTACTATTCCTATGCGTGACGGCATTATTAATTTTTGCCATTTTATTTTTTTTAACGTTAGGGGGTTCAAAATGACATTATTTCATCATTTTAGGCTGCCCTATAAATTGAATTTTTAGTGCGCATTTACTTAATTTGTTTCTCTTAATTTTCTCTCTACACGAGAGCTGAACGGGTTTGTAAATTTACTGTTCGTTGACCTATTTATCTTGGAAGCTACCACTGTAGGAGTCAATATTTGATGTTGAGTGCTATGATCGTCGACTGATTTATCTATGGACCTCACTGTTTTTTCTCTTGACAGTGTGATGTAGGTTTTTGTGAGATCCATGATTTTGAAAAATTCATGAAATTATTAGAATATTATAAATTTTGAGTAATATTATTCAGCATCAATGCGTCAAAACATTGATTTAGGTAGCAATTGCAGGAAATTAAACAATAGATTTACTTAAATACAATGTCATGCAGGGACGGAGTCAGTAATGAAGGGTACGAAGGGCAAAAATTTCTAAAATTGAATGTACGAATAAAATTTAAATATAACTAGAAAAATTGTAATATAACGTTACATATTACAATTGTACCCAACTATGTTTTATAGCATAAAATTCATCTATAATAGAATTTAGATCTAAATTAATACTAAATTCTCGTTTAATGTTTAGTGTTAAACAATCGGCAAGAAAACCATCATCTATTTTTTTACGAATTTCCGTCTTCACATGTTTCATTGTTGAAAATGCTATAAATTTCTATTATTATATCATAAGTTAAATTGCTATTGGCTAAATTCCCAAACTAATATTTCCTAAATAAATGCCTAAATCCTAAAGCAACTTGGCAAATAGCAAGTCTAAAGTCTGCCTAATTCGTTAATCAAATTAAATGGATACACCAACTGCAAATTACATAGCATATTAGCATTTTAGCAACTTAGCAATAGCAAGTCTAAGTTTTATCAAACAACTTTTCCATTTTAGCCAGCAGCCCTTCAATTTCAAATTATTCAATGGAGTATAAATTGTCTAATGTGGCCTGCACACACATCTAACTGCATTACCGCACTGCAAACACAAGTTAAGGCCACAAACATACCTCACTGCAGGCCACAAATGAAGGCTAAAGCCTGAAGCACAATTGCATTGCATTGCACTGCACACAAGGGTTGAATCGACACTGAAAGGTTGAAACAAAACAACGTTACAACTTACAAGACATTACAAAAACAAAATTGAAACTGAAACAAGATATTAAACACAAAACACAAGAAGTTGAAGAGTGAAGAAGAAGAAGTGAAGAACAGTGAGCAGGCTGCAGGGCCGATTTTCACTTACCGGATTAAATTGAACAATGAGAAAGGGTTTTGGAGGACGGCGTTCAGCTGATGGTGGACGGTGTCGGGCAGTAAAGGGTTTAGACGGACGACGGTAAAGGGTTTCGCCGTTTAGGGTAATGGGCAGGGTCGAATGCGAATTGGAAGAAAATTAGAAATCAAGAATGAAGAAACCGTGCACAGGAGGGTTTGGGTGGGAATTGGGTTTAATTTTATGTGGCTTGCAAATTGGGTTTTCAATTTTTCAAATGGGCTAGGACAGTGGAAAAAATTTGGCTTTAACATTTTTTTTTATAGAAGTTGGGCATGGGCAAGAGTCCACCCCTATCTCTGCCATTAATATCATGTGATTAATTTAATTGAACATATCAAATGTGGTTACCTAGACTAGTGCTCCAGCATCACTGATACTAGATAGCATTATTCAAGATTTTTTGTACTTTATCAGTTTGTCTAGATTTTTAGATGACTTTGTAGGATTTCTTGTACCATAATACTAAATTTTGGACGGTTGGTTTGGGGGAGGGTAAGATCCACAATTCTGCATCATAACTTGAAAAATCTTCTTCTATTTTCAGAAAGGTTGGGATGGTAATAGTTAATATTGTTAGCTATTCCATGATGTGAAAAATATACCGTGATTGCACAAGCAAGCAAAAGAGTAAAATTGAAAACTCTCCGTCCTTCCTATTTGCAGCTGCAATGACAATACTGGTGCTGGACAAAGCTGACATGTAATCTTCACAAAGTTACTCATCCTTTTCCTTTTACTAGTGGGGTGAACGTGCGTTGCACGTTAATTGATTAATAATAAAAGTAAGTGTGTGTAAATTTGAGAGAAATTAATTTGTAAATGTGAAAGATATTCACAATTCAGTTCAAATTAACTTACATTTCCTGTACTTCTTCGTATATTTTTTATTATTTGTACAAACATTTGGCATTGATTTAAATGTATTCCTATTTTCCTTCAACTCTACAAGAGAAATATTTGATTACTTGTAAAAATGAATATGCACAGTGAAAAGATAAAAATAAAAGC